TATGCTACTTGTATGGTTATGTATGAATATGTGTGATATGAAAATATTTATTAAAATAATTATTACGTTTATAGGTGTACTGAACGGGGGGATTGGAAATACACAATTCAACGAAGTATTGACTTCCTTCGATATTCCAGAGCTGCATTGGGGGACATATAAAGAACATGAGAAAGAAGTAGGAGTAGCTATCGAGGGTCTGGCCTATGAGAGTTGTGTTCGTGCAGCTTATGAAGAAAGAAAGAAGACAATAGAAAATAAAGAAGATGTTGTAAAGTTACTGTAAGCTTTAGAATTGTACATTATTTTTTGTTACTATTGATTTTTTCAACTCATCCACAATTTATACATATATTTTTTAATCTTTTATTTTGATCAATTTTCAACTATTTACTTATGATTTTTTTTCGTTGTTAAGTTTTATGTCATTCTTTATTAATTATGCTGAGTATTGTACTCATTAGTTGAAATCAATTGTACGTAAATTGATTGATTTTTATATACTAAGTACTGATATAGTTGAAAGCTACTTATGATGATGTATACGCTACAATAATAATTGTACGGTGATTGTATCTGAATTGAAAAATTGTTTTGCACTAATAAATAAAAAAGAAAAACAAAAGGAAGTTCAATCCTATATTTTGCTCCTTTTGATTTATTTTCAGGCCTAGTCATTTGGATCATAATTTTATTCTTCCTGACGAGTATGAAAACAATGACCAATATCCAGATGAAAATTTAGTACGTATAGCTACATCATTCGATATGGGCTGGACAACTCGAGGTACCGGACGAACATACGACAGCCTCTCAGGCACTGCTGCTTTAATCGGTCACTATACCAAAAAAGTTATATCTTATGTCACACTAAATAGAAAGTGTAAAAAGTGTGACCTTGGCAGGTCACCTAGTGATCATGACTGTCGCTTGAATTTTGAAGGATCTGCCAAAGCTATGGAACCTCATGCAGCAGTCAAACTTGTTAATGAAAATAAAATTTTAAAAGAATGTAACATTCAAGTTGGAATTCTAATAGCGGACAATGATAGCAGTTCCATTAGTGCTGTACGCAATGCTTGTAAACATGAAGTGGTCAAACAGGCTGACAAAAACCATACAAGCAAAGGAGTTACGAACGCGTTATACAAAATTAAAAAGAATTTTAAAGAACTTACTGGGCCAGTAATCAAATATTTACAGAGGTGCTTTAATTTTTGTATTTCGCAGAATATTGGAAACAGTACGACCATGGCTGCTGCTATTAGAAATATTCCAGACCATTGTTTTAATAGTCATGAAAACTGTGGTACGTGGTGTGGTTATAAAAATAATCCAGACACATATACCCATTCAGTCATTAAAGAAGGTTTTAAAAATCCTAATTTGTTCCAAAGTTTAAAAGATATATTTGATACTCTAGCTAATAAAACAAGCTCATTTTCAGCAGGTGCTTCAAGTAATGCTAATGAAAGCTTGAATTCTGTGATAGCAAGTAAAGCTCCAAAAAGTAAAATGTATGGCATGTCAGCATCTGGTGATGTGAGAGTAGCGTGTGCTATCAACAAAAAGAATGATGGTGAGCAGTACCTTGTACGTTTATCTGAAAAGTTATGTTTATCACCAGGCAAACATACGAAAAAGTATACTGCGAAAAAAGACGTATATTCTAAGAAAAAATATGCAACTGCGTCGACGCGTGCATTTAAAAAGCGACGTTTATTTTTAAGGAAACGTAAGACTGACTTGAGACAGAAAAAGGAGTTGTCAGAAGGAACAACCTATGAATCCAATGTAGGACTACTTAATTTAGATGCAACTATTGCTATTGCAGAAATAACCGATGATAAGCCAATCGTTGTACTATTTGATTTGGAAACTGGTGGCCTCAGCAAGAGCGCGGATATTCTGCAAATAGCTGCAAAATGCCAAAACTTTACGTTTTCTGTGTATGTAAAACCTAGTCAAAAAATTAATGAAGAATCAAGTATAGTTACTGGTTTACGGTATGACGATGGGAATCTAACGTTACGTGGAAAAGTCCTTGAAACCGTTCCCTTACTGGACGCGATGATTGCATTTTATGAGTTTTTGTACTTGTTTCAAAAGAAATGTATACTGACAGCTCACAACTGCAATTTTGATTATTCCCGGTTATTGAAAGCGATCAAAACTACATTCATGGATAAATATTACCAATCAGTTATTTTAGGATTTGCGGATACATTACCTTTGATAAGAAAATGTAATACGAAGAAAGGTCGAGGTGAAAATAAATTGGAAACAGTTGCAAACAATATGGGTATAGATACAAGTCAAGCTCATAATGCTCTTGATGACGTTGTGATTTTAGATAAAGTATTAGAAAATTTTAACATAACCAATGATAGTATAGTTAAAAATGTTATAACTTTAGTAGACATTGAAAAAAAAGAGTTATTTGCCAAAGAATTACCTGGTGCCTTACAGGAATTAAGTGCGTTAAACGAATGCACGTCACTAACAATGAGAAAAAGAATTATCGCTGCTGGTATAAGTTATAAGAATATTTCCGAAACGTATGAAGAAGAGAAACTTGTAGGATTAAAAAAATTATTTGGCAAAGATGAATCAGGTACTGTCAGAGTTACAGTAAACAAAAACGTCATACAAAAAGTCTACGACTTTTTTGAAAAAAGTTCAATTCTCGTCATGCAAAATAACTAACAAAATATATAATATTTATTTTTAACAATAAGATTAAATACAGTTTTTTTTATTAGATATCATAATTACGAACGCATGTTTATATCAAATTTTATAATTATTTTATGTAAAACATTTTCTATTAGCTTGTTAAGTATTGAAAATTTATTCAAATTAAACGTATTTTTAAGAATGCATAGAATTTGCAATATGATGTTAACGAATCATAAAAAAAAAATAATATTCTGTGATTGATGTTTTATAACATCACAATATTTGTACTACGAATTTTCGCAATTTTCTATTAAAATAAAAATAAAAGAATATGAAGTATTATTTTTTATTAATATTATTATTACTAATATAGTTATTAAGTATTCTAAATCTGTCATCACGAATCAATCATTGACCTATGGATCGCGGTATTACGTACGAGTATTTGAAACGAGCGCGCCACCTAAACTCTCGTACAGCGTTGCCAGATTTCTGACGCCGTGTAAATAGCGGACGAAAAAACACATTTTCTGACTATTTCTTAATTTATTATTAATGTTGTAAGTACCCACGGAGTATTGTCTAAATCAATATGTGTTCTTCAGATATTTTTCTACTATATATAAAATTCCCGGGTCAACCTTGGCGTTAATCACATTGTACTACGTCATTGAGTGCGTTGAAACCGCAGTTTCGCATAAGAGCCCGTGTTAAAACGTAAAAAATTAAAACGTTAATTTTTCAGCTTCTAGGTACCCTAGCTTTCCAAAACTTTACGTGTGTCTTTTTTACGTAAAAACTAACCTATATGCAAATTTTCAGATTTTATTTGGCATTATTTCTATTCACTAGAGAACCTCCTTAATCTGAAAATGGAACACGTAAGTGGCAAACCAGATGTGATTGCGTTAACTACTTCATGAAACCGAAAGAACTAACTTAAGTTAATAGAAATGTGATAACGTGAGAACGGTAAGTGTTCGCTGTGTGCCAATCTTAGCATGAGATTCTGTCTGTTCGAGGGGACTCTGTGAAATTGCCCCTGGAACGACTGGGAACTGAGGTTGGTTACGACGGAGAAGGTCCCCCTTTCTTTTGCGGGGTTCAGACCAGGTGACTGGTGTTGACGACGTGGAGGAGATCGGTAAGGACTGGCGGCTCAATGCCAGTTCGAGGGGAGGTGGTGGTTTCCCGCCGGAGGAACGCCGTTACGAAGGCGCGCAACCGATGGAGGAGGACCGGAGGAACGCCGTTGGAGGCGCGCAACCGGAGGCGGAGAGTCGGAGGAACGCCGATGGAGGCGCGCAACCGATGGAGGCGCGCAACCGATGGAGGAGAACCGGAGGAACGCCGATGGAGGCGCGCAACCGGAGGCGGAAAATCGGAGGAACGCCGATGGAGGCGCGCAACCGATTGTGGAAAATCGGAGGAACGCCGTTGAAGGCGCGCACCCGAAGGCGGAGGATCGGAGGAACGCCGATGAAGGCGCGCAACCGACGCACGTAGGTCGCCAAGTGACATAGGTCACTAGTCGCTGGGCGAGCAGCGACGACCAAGAGGGTGCTGCTTCGGTGGCTAATTTGCGGGTGTCATCCCCGGCATTCTGCCGGGGTTGCACTATCGATCTCTCCTGAGATGCACCTCCCCGTGTGGGCCACCTTGTCGTGGTGGGGGGGCTTAAGGCGGGCGTCCGGCTGGGAACCGTTATGTGCCGCTTTTAGGCTCCGGCGGTTCCATGGGCTGGGCGTCCGCCGACTAAGAGCCCACTTGGCCAGTGTATGGCCTGGCCGAACATCGGCCGAGCAGGATGGGGAAGCGATGTCTCATGGACATTCTGTCCGGAAGGGCATCGTGGACCCATACTTTTGAGCGGAAGGCCTCGTGCCTTTGGGTTGGAAAAGGTGTTAAATCACCAGGGCGTACCGTGTACGCATGGGTAGGCACAACGAGGCGTGGCCCCGGGGCCGCCGGAACTTATTTCCAGGTCGGGGCTCGGGGTCGAGAGGACGTGTCGTCGGGGCCGCTCGGACGTATTCCGAGGCGGGGCTCGGCGGCATGGGGCCCTCCGGAGCCGCTGGGACGTTTCCCAGGTCGGGGTCCGGAGGGTCGCTGGCGGGGGGCTGTCGCGGTCCCGGGCAGTGTCCCGG